GTGTGTGTGTGTGTGTGTGTGTGTGTGTGTGTGTGTTTGTCCTGTGTTTGTCCTGTGTGAAGGTGATTATGACAGCAGACTCAAAGGTCTGGCTGTGTGGCTTTCTTTTGCCCCCTCCAGGTGCGGCGAGGCCAGCGCACCGTCCAGACTGAGACCAAGTACATCGAGCTGATGGTGGTCAACGACCATGAGCTGGTAGGGGTGAAGCTTTTTCTTTTCCTTATCTCTGTAAGTGCTGCATGAAGGCTTTAATAAGAAGTGAGCGTGACTTTCATTAAAATAGGGATTTTAATCCGCTGATAAGACGGCACAGAAAAAAGATGAAAGGCGGTAACACAGTAACGTTTCTCTCCTCTTGTTAGTTCGTGCAGCTTCGTCGGTCGTCCACTCAGACAAAGAACTTTGCCAAAGCGGTGGTGAACATGGCCGACGCGGTGAGTGGAAACACTGTTGAGGAGTTGACTATGATCTCCCTCTTCCTGTCATCTTTTTTTTTTTAAACATGGCACCCCTTCATAGTGAATCTATTGTAGGGAGTCTCTTGAGCTTACTAAAGGCAATTGCCACAATTCGGAGCTTTATTCTCTTGCAGATGAAACTTTCCTGAGTTGGACAGCTGCCAACAAGCTGTTTTACCATCTGTTTTAATTTTATCCATCTTCTTTAAATGTCAAATATTTGCTTTCATCTATTGAATCCTCACCATCATTTGACAGGGTATTTTACATGACTAATTTGAATGGCTATTTCTTATTCTGTCCATTTGATGTGTTGTATAATGACCTGTTTATGTGTATGTGGCCATGTATAGCACCGGCATGGCAAACCCTTCACTGACAAACTCAGTGATGCTGGTTTCCAAGGCAATCGACCGCTGCCTGCCGTCTCCCACTCGCGCGTCTAAAGTAGAGACGGATTCTACTGTCTCCATCATCTGCAATATTTATCTCCCAGTTAACCCCTTCGGATCTGAATTCTTTCCACGAACAGGAAACTTTAATTTAGTAGTTTATTTTTCATTCTTCTCCCAATAGATGGAGAGAAATAGGGCTAAGAGGACACTTCTGATTACTATGTTATTCACTTTCACACATGTTTATTCTTTAATTTAAACTTAATTATTATTTATTGTTCTTTCAATCCTTTCTGTTGTAATGTGTTCTAATCGGTCATTGCTTCAATTGTTCTGAGGGATGATGGTAAGTAACTGTCAAGAGATACATTTTCCGAATGCGTTTTCTCCTTTTGATGTTTCCAGATCTACAAGGAGCAGCTCAACACTCGCATCGTCCTGGTGGCCATGGAAACCTGGTCTTCTGAAAACAGGATATCCGTGGGTGACGACGCTTTGCTCACCTTGCGCGACTTCATGAAGTACAGGAAGGAGAGCATCAAGGAACGCTGCGACGCCGTTCACCTCTTCTCGTTAGTTCAATCTCCTGATTGTTGTCAGTGGTCGTGTTTTTATCTCTTCCTCAGTCTTCTTCTTCTCTGTCTTACTCTTCATTTTATCAGTCTTCTTCGTAGTCTTCTTCATCGTCTTCTTCATCTTCTTTTCTGTCTTCTTTGTCTCTTCTTCTTATTCTCTGTCTTCTTCTTCTTCCTCCTTTTCTTGTTTCTCTTCTCTGTCTTCTTCCTCCTCCTTTTCTTGTTTCTCTTCTCTGTCTTCCTCCTCCTCCTCCTCCTCCTCCTGCACCTATTATTAAGTTTCTCTGTCTTCACCACAGTGGAAGGACGTTCATGAGCAGCCGCAGTGAGGCAGCCTACATTGGGGGCATCTGCTCAGCCACCAGAGGTGGAGGCATCAATGAGGTGAGACTTGTGTCCCTTACTTAGATTCGATTAGAGAGATTAGCAACAAATCATTGTGTTTGTCCAATGAACTTCATGAAAATGGATATTTACAGAAGTAATTAGTCATTCTCATTAACTTGATTTATGTGTGTGTCTTCAGTATGGCAGCGTGGGCCCCATGGCCATCACATTGAGTCAAAGCCTTGGCCAGAACATTGGCATGCTGAGAAACAAAGAGCGACTGGCTGCAGGTGAGACTAACATTCATTGCAGATATCGGTTGAGATCTGACACAGAGTCACGGGAGGACAATCTCTCTTGACATGATTCAGAAACGCAGAGACTTAAAAAGGCAATTTGCCATACAACCGTGTTACTTTAGATAATGGTTTTAGCCGTACATTCCTTCCTGCAGTATTCACGTATTTGAGCAAGGCATCTTCAGGTTGTTTCAGATAACATTCTAAATTTAATTGCTGTTATATCTAAAAGTCTGTCTTTTACAAACTCAAAGAGTGCAAAGCTTTTATACAGCACTCCTTTGACTTTCCACGGAGAATGTGCTGATTGTATTACATTTATCTCAGATGAAAAGAAAACTGCTGCACTAACAGCTCCCTCAAGCAGTGAGATCACAGAGTTGCTAAAAAACGTTTTTTGTTTGTAGTCATCAACTGTCTTGGCAACAGAAATATTGTGTGTGTGTGTGTGTGTGTGTCCAGGAGACTGCAGGTGTCCAGACCCATGGCTGGGCTGTATCATGGAGGACACAGGGTATGCACCTTTTAATTTAGAATCAATTAATCAGTCACCTGTAGCACACTAAGCAATACTTCTCAAGTAAAACAGGAGTCTGTGGCAACAAAGACGGACATATTTCACACCTCATCATATTTATTTTGTCATATTTAACCGACAAGTTGTGTCATTTCTTTTATTTTTTAGGATGAGTATGAAATGCAGCTTGTAAAAGTACCAAACTTCATCTGTGTAAAATATGAACAGCATTTTTGGTTGGCAGGTTTTCATATTTATTCAGACTTTTTAAGGCTTTAGCAATATTGCAAATGTTGCCAACAAATGGCAATGAGAGATTTCTGTTTCTCTTTTTTTGTCCTAATTAGTTACTACCTGCCCAGGAAGTTCTCTCGCTGCAGCATAGACGAGTACCTGCGATTCCTTCAACAGGGAGGAGGCAGCTGTCTCTTCAACAAGCCCAGCAAGGTGAGAGATGGTCGGTCATCATCCTATATTGTTCTTACCAAAGTTAAATTGCTTTGAATGTATTTTCATTGTCTGTTCTGTGTTGTTGTTGTATGCATTGTTTTACTCTATAGTTGCCCTGCTTATGTTTCTTCTCCTGCAGTTGTTTGACCAACCAGAGTGTGGGAATGGATTTGTGGAGCTGGGAGAGGAATGTGACTGTGGAACACTCGTGGTGAGCACATTTGAATTAACTACTTTTATATTGCTTGTCGTATACACAAAGAGTATTAGGACTGATTTTATCCCATTGGTTTAATTCAGCCTTAAGCCTAGTTTGAAAAGCCAATACTTACAGTAACGACTGTCATATCTTTATCCAATCTGTTCAGAACATTTCAGTTTAAATGGTGCTGCACTTATGATCTTTAATGGAAGGAGAGCCTACAGTTTAAATACATTTTCTTGAAATCTTTCAAAGGAAATGCTTCTCTCTGTTCAGACAGCTAAACTGGGGACAATATTTAGCTTACAACCCCTCTGTCTTTGCAGTTTGTCAGATTGTGGTTGGATTGTAAGTGTAGTCAGTTATGTGAGTTCAAAAAACCTTGATACTCGTGATCTACAGATGTGCTATGAACATCTCTTACCCATAGGACTGTGCACGGAGTGGAGCCAACTGCTGTAAGAAGTGCACCCTTACCCACAATGCCATGTGCAGCAACGGGCTCTGCTGCAGGGACTGCAAGGTGAGCTGCTTTGATACAGCACTTTAACCGGAGTGTTTGTTGCCGTGTCTCAAGGCCCCGATGGACTATTCATCCTCCCACCTGCTCAGTTCCACCCCCCTCATGTCTTTCTTTTTTCCCTTCCATCTTCTTCTGTGGGTGTTTGTGACAGTACGAGCTGAGAGGGGTGACGTGCCGTGAAACTGTTAACGACTGTGACATCCCTGAGACCTGCATGGGAGACTCCAGCCAGGTAAAATACATGCCTAAAGAATTTAGACATCTGACATCTGAAACCCCCCACCATGATGAACGGACAGATAATATTCTCTCTCTTTCAGTGTCCTCATAACGTCCACAAACTGGATGGCTACATGTGTGGTGCTGGACAGGTAAAGTCATGCGAGTTGCTAAATGTTTGTTACTGCTTCAGGTTGTTGCATTTAATAGAACATATCTTCTTTCCTCAGGGTCGGTGTTATGGAGGTCGTTGTAAGACCAGAGACGGCCAGTGCAGGACGCTGTGGGGCTACAGTAGGTTTGGATTGGATATTGAGCTTGATTTCTAAATGATCCATGGCCCTTTGATGGTTAAAATGTCATGGCTCACATTTAGAATCTTCTATATTTTCCGAGAAGAGCTTCCATTAAAGCAAGGCCGTTGGTTGTCGTACAAGTTAAAGACTCTGTTCTCTCTTCTCAGACTCAGCCGACAGGTTCTGCTATGAAAAGCTGAATTCTGAGGGCACAGAGAAAGGAAACTGTGGTCCGGACTCCAGTGGTCAGGGATGGGTGCAGTGCAACAAGCAGTGAGAGAACAGCATTGGCTTCATTAAATACATATTGATACATACACTTGTTTTTTTGCTTTATTAAATCTCATATTAGTTGAGTTTTTGTCATTATTAAATTGTTTCTTTCATCTCCATCAGGGATGTCCTGTGCGGTTTACTGCTGTGCACCAATGTGACAGATAGGCCGAGGTTTGGTGAACTTCAGGGGAGGCTCACCAGTCTGACCATCCACCATCAGAACAGATACCTGGACTGCAGGTAAGGCAGCTTTTCTTGGGCTGCTTGGTTTGTTTAAACAGCAATTTGAAGGATTAAACAATTACAGTAGGCTGCCTAATATAATTTGTATTCGCTACATTCAAAAAAGAGGAGAAAGCACTGATCTAGGAAGAACAATCAATCCTGATTAATTGGTACCATCAGTCTGTAACAAACAAATGAGTGATGGTTATATGTGACCATCTGACCTACAGGGGCGGCCATGCAGTGCTGGATGACGGCTTGGATATGGGCTATGTGGAGGATGGGACACCATGTGGGCCAAACATGATGTGTTTTGAGCGTCGCTGCCTCCCTGTCACCACCTTCAACCTGAGCACCTGCCCGGGCTCCTCGTCCTCACACATCTGCTCCGACCACGGGGTGAGTGTGTCACTGCGCTGGAAACGAAGGTTTGTGGGTAGTAAACGAGAAAAGATATTGACGCTTCCACTCATTATTTTGTCTTTTTTGTTTCACAGACTTGCAGCAACGAGATAAGGTGCATCTGTGATCCGGACTACACTGGGAAGGACTGTAGTGTGGTTGACCCGATCCTCAACCCCACACCGGCAGACCTAGAGAAACACAGAGGTAACTACACTGAGCAGTTAGCTCCACATAGTCCGTTCAACAGGCGGAACAGTTTCAGTTGTTCCTCACTAAAATAACCTGCTATGACATAGAAATATACACAAAACAAGTACAAGTTGTTCATACAGAATGGTTTGAAAGCTTTCATCTTCATTCAAGAACAATTCAAATCTCTTCTTTAGAGAGAGTATATAAATAAATGGTGTAGGACATGGAGGAGGAAGGATATCTTAACACCAAGGAGTCAAATCACAATTCAAACTTGATAGCAGTTATCATAACATGTTCTTCTACTTTTTCATGTTGGCTGAAAGTGTTTTGGGTCACATTGAACATCACTTTTTGATGCTTTACAGTCAACAGAGATACAACATAATATAACCACTTTTGGCACTCTCTTCCCCCCCCCCCACTGGTTGACTCGTTCACTCCAACAGGTCCCAGTGGCACGAACATCATAATAGGCTCGGTTGCTGGTGCAATTCTGGTGGCAGCGATAGTCCTGGGGGGCACTGGCTGGGGATTTAAGTAAGAGCTCTGGCATCTCTCCATCTGTGTGTGTGCCTGCTGTGTTCCTCTGTCAGCTAACACACATGCTTGCGGCTCGCTGCTGAATGCTCCTCTGCTTGTTGTCTGATCCATACTCTCAACCAGAGACCATGTGGGTTTATTATTGATGCTGGTGGACGTGCGGTAGATGGGTTTCCGTCTGTGGGTTTTGTTAGAGAAGGAGAGCGTTAATGATCATACTTACAAACCCTCATTAGTCATTTGTCATCGCTAGTAAGCTCTTTGATGGCATGAGATGAATGGCAGGAGCTTCACCACTTTGCAATATGTATGATATTTATTCTAATTTGCTCAAATCTGTAAGACTTTATGTGGGCTGTAGAAGCTACATTTATATATAATGAGCTGAATACTAGACAAGTGCTGAAACAGTCTGTCAAATAATCAACAATCAATTGACAGAAATAGATTCATCATTTTGAGTGTTTTTTTAGGCAAAATTGGCTCACGTTTTCAAATGTAAATAGTTTCTGGATTTCTTGGTTTTCTACGATAGTAAAGTATATATTTTAGGGTCAGTCAGACGAACAAGACCCCATGGTGAAGACGTCAGCATGTCGCCCTCATTGTGATTTGAATATCTTTTGGGTTTGGGACGGACGTCACTTTGGTCTGTGAGATATTACTCATTATTTCTGGATATTTCATAGACTCAATGATTATAATTGATTCATCAAAAACACGGAGTGAAAACTGCTTTAAAGCTATGTAGGTTTCCAACAATCCCAAATAACAAACTCTTTCCATGTTCCTCTCCGCACGACTGAATCTTTTTTCTGCAGTTAGTTTGCACACTCTAAAATGCCGTCTTGCCTCATGCCTGCAGGATGCAAAGAAACTAAAATGCTTCTCTACGACTGTAGACTTTTCCCGTAATCTCATGATTTATTTGTATGGAATATTTCAAATCTGCCTGGATAGATGCTTCAGACGTCCTTGATAACAAAAGATAAAAGAAACTTTAAATGCCTCTTTAATGCTTTGCTTTTAAGGCCTTGTGTTCGTTGCATGTTTTTCTGCTTTCACTCTGCTTCTTTGCGCATATGAAAAAGTTGATAGTCTTACCTGTCTTTCTACTTCACTGTCTGTTTTGTCTGCTCCCTCCATCTTGTTCCTGCCTCACTGCGATTCCAGAAACATCCGAAGAGGAAGGTACGACCCCACCTTTCAGTCCTGATCTTAAAACGTTATCAGAGTCATCAATCACTGTTCATTATGTAAAACATAATGCCATTTGTTTTAATGGAATCCTCTGCTTCTTTATCAGCTGAGCAGCTTTAAAGATATTTCTAAGCCCACACAAATTTCATCTGATTTTACGGCCTTATTTTTCATCTTTCACACATTTATCTAATATTTATTTGTATAGGGACGAGTATATAGCATGAACCAATGCCACATAGCCACATACCGCAGTATTTATAATATTTGCAGTCTTCTTCCATATATGGGCCTTTACAATACACAAAACGTAATGCAGTTTTAGTATTAGGAAACATCGCTAACTCCTAAATCGTAGTTTGCTTTATTATTATTTGTACTGCATGTCCCCTCACTAACTTGGCTGCCACTTCTAGAATATAGCTGCAGTGTCGACTTTGTAAGACTTTCAATAATAAAATTGAACTCCTCTTTTAAGTTTTTGTTTTTGGTTATTTTTTGTTATTATTTTATGATCTATCTGCATTACAGCTGCAACGATTAGTCGATGAATTGTTAAGTCAGTCAACAGAAAATTTTCAACAGCTATTTTGATAATTTGACTATTCGTGCAAAATTTCAAACATTTTATGGTTCCAGGCTCTAAAAAGTGAGAATTTCCTTACAGTAAATTGAACGTCTTTGGTTTTTGACAGTCAAAACAAGACATTTGAAGATGTCACCTTGTGCTATAGGGAATGGTGATGGGGATTTTTAACTGTTTTCTGATGTTTAGCTGACCAAACAAGTAATTAAATGAAGTTCCAGTTGCAATTCCAATCAGTCTTTTCCATGTTTTAATTCATCTTTGCTTTCCTGTCGGTTCTCTCAGATTCCTCAATGTTTGTCTTTCTCTTACCCCTCCTCCTTTTATCTTCCCCTCATCTTCTTTCCCTACTTCATTCCTCTTCTCTTTCCAGATCTTCGTGAGTTTGAGTTGTGTCTCTTCGCTGTCCTGTCTTCCTTACACCGGTGTCCAGTCCGCTCTGAGGATACAAGACAAAGATATCTTCCACTTCTGTTTCCTTTTCTGATTTCATGAAAGCTGTCTCCTTTGGTATTCTCCTCCTGGGAAGCCTGATTACTCTTTGTTTAACTGCAGTATGGAAGTTGCCATCAGATCTGAAAGACTGTCAGGAGTTTTCTGGTTCCAAATGTTCGCTTTGGTGTCATGCTCACTTTTTATTTACAACATTTCCAGGACACACAGACACACACAGCCCTTAACTGAAGTGCGTTTACTGAACTTTTTTCGGTTAGATTTCCCCTTCCACTGGTTACAGCTGATATTCTGCCATATCGACTGTTATTGTGTTTTACCCCTTTAAGTAATGTACTACTTCTAGTCTGGACTTTTTTGGGAAGTCTTCTGTTTTCAAAGATATTTAACCTTGTGGAGAACACCACCACCTCCTCTCAGTGGTGTGACTTTAACTGCAGTAGAAGTGTATGAAAATAACAAAATAGTGAATGTTGACATTTTATCAGTCTAGATGAGGGTTATTTTGTGTGCTAGGCCTTTACATTCCACGGTAATAGCCATACTTTCTCTTATGCTGCCGTTCATTATCAAACAGTAGTCCATCCTAAATCAATGCTTCTACATAATATGCATTAATGAAGTTCAGGCCTGCAAGGAAGCTAGTTGTGTCTCTGTGCCGATGATATCAAAGTACTTTTTACTTCAGACAGTTGCACATGTAAACGCCAAATGTTTTATCCCGCTGTATAATATGTAATCTATATACAGCCAATATGCTGAACATGGGTGCTGATGTACAAAGTGTATCATAAGGTTGACTCGTTAAGACAGCAGTGACTCACTGCCGCTCTGAATGAAAGCACAAGTCTGGAGAGAGAAGACTCTTCCTGCCTCTCAGCATAAAACTGCTCATTTTGAAGTTTTAATTCCATAGAGAAGATTTGAATCTTTGCAGTTTAGTGAAGTTTGAGCTCCTCTGGTTTTCCACAATTGTGGGATGAATGATCATTTGGGTCACGGAGAAAGATATGCGAGTGTTGTATGTTTCATACATGCCTCTAAGAGATTTTCAAGCTGCAAAATTATTAAATAGCTCCCAGATTTCCAAAAATTTGATTTAACACAGGATCTCACTCCATATTATAATCTGGCTTCTATGAGCTCAGTCAAGCTGCCGAGGTAAAACTAGAAATGAAAAAAATATGCTTTATCTCTAAATGCCGTTAGATAATTTAATTCTGACTGACCAGATCAATAAGCAATAAATATGTACATTTCATGAATAATATCAGAAACATGTTCGCCCATAGAAAAAAAAGAGTCTTATTCTGCTGCTTCCATGTGCATCACTCTCCGTCTATCCCCTCTGGACTTCGGAGAATCTTAAATCAGGTTTATTGTGGTTATTATGTACAAAGACCCCTTTACACCTTGCATTAAAATGTGTCTCATATCTAGATCTGATTAAATTCCCCAGTATTAATATGCATTTCCTGTGACCACAGTGAGATCGAATCACCCAAAAAGCGTTTTAATGCTGTTGGTGTAAAGGGGGTATTTGTTTCACTAAATAACAATAAGGAACTGCGTAATCGCAGAGGTGCCACAACAGATGATCCAAGTTACACTGCCGGTAAACTTACAATAGCATTAAAGGAATACGTTGACATTTTCTCTGCTTCTGAAATTAGACACAATTTTTAAAAAAAAAAGGTCCTAACGACATTCCTTACTGACTAAAATGAGTGCAGTTAGTCATGGAAATTGATTTTTGAAGGCTAAATGCTAAACTTATTTTGACTTTAAACAGCAGTTCATTTTCTCAGAGTTTAAATGTCAGTGGGTAGCCCTTTAATCGTACTAAAACTCTGCCGTATGCACGCTGTATAAAATCGAAAACTCAAGGACAGACTTGGCTGAAAGCTCAGGTCACACTGTGTTTACCGCCACTGTTTGTGATCACACATTGTAGTTGGACTCACCATTCACACAGGGAAGTCAACATTGTTTATTCCCACAGGAAGGTTACCAGTATTAGCTTAGCCTATAATGTAAATACTCATATTATTGTATATTGAAATATATATTAAATCGTATATGAATAACAGTGACCATGTGTCTGTTGTGTAAATCCTGTTTTAACGAAGTACTTTTGCAGGATGTTTGTTGTCTGAGTCGGTGAGAAACCCGGTGAAGAAGAGTTAACTTTAACTGTCGTGTAGTTCTTCCTACTTATCAGGATGTATTTGTAAATATTGTTAAATATTTGCTGGACCTCGGGGATGTTTCTACAGGGTTTGTTGAGGACTGTAATGAGATCTGTTTATCTGTGCCTCTCACAGTATTAACAACGAAAGTATTTTCATAGAAGTACAAACTATATTCATGCTTAGTTTGCCATAAGAAGTATTAAAAACAGCAATCCAGGAGCGCAACACAATTTTTCACTTATCTATATGGTAATAAACTGTATTTTAGTCAAGCTAATAAAATGTTTTGTCAAACCCTAAGGTACTTGGAGGAAAAAAAAAAAAAAAAGTGAAAACAGCTTTTATTGACTCTTTTATTTCTTAAAAAACTAAGATTAGATGGATACAAATGAGAATAATTCTAACATAGGACAGAAGAGGACATGAAAGACCTGCTCTTTCTTGTCACCGTCTCTGATATTACTGACTGATTTAATCACTGACATTCTTCAGATCTACCGTTCTATTAAATTCTCACTCTCAGCTCTCTTCAGACATTTGACTCCGCAGCGTCTCCTTTGCCCTTCGGCTGTCTCCACTCAGCATAGATGGACTCCTCGTAGTCTCCCATCCCTTCAAACTCAACATCGGGAGACTCGGAGGAAAAAAGTGCAGCTTCCTCTGATCCAAAAAAATCCTAAAGAAAGAAACCCAAAATTATTTAAGATGACATTTACTCTTAGAGGTGCTTTTGAAAGTTTTCCATAAATGTTTTATACAAGTTGCAAACAAACATCCCACATAAAGTTACTGGAGAACAGCAGCTAAGAAGCCTCAATGTTTTTTCTTCCTAATTTTTGGAAAAATATCACAGGTGTCTGTTAAGAAAATATGCTGTAGTTTTTAATTTAATCTTACCTCATCATTTAACTTTAAGTACTTCTCTGCAGATGTCAGCATCTGCTTTAGAGTGACAGCATGGTTGTAGTGTCTTAGAGCCTCCTGTTTAAACATTGACACATTAAACAGGGATTAGTGGCTTTCAGCAGACACCGTACACAGATTAATTTTTGTCAAATGCGGTATGTGATGTTTCCTCTCACCATCCTGGGTGTGAAGTGGTCGTGCTGAAGGCCCCACTGCTCACTGTAGACTTTATAGTACTGCAGGTTCTGCTTCATGACCTGGTCCTCTGGTTCAAACAGGAAGTAGCTGTAAGCACAAGGCAACGCACGGCGGCCGTCGTTCACTGGTCGGAGGAAAAAAACCAGCAGATGAACAGATGAGTGTTGACTATCATTTAAGAACAGTGAAGGAAAGCGCAGTTGCAGTTGTACACTTACACTTATAATAGGCATACTGGAGATAGTGGTACATAGTGGCCACAAATTTTTCCACAAAATAACCACCAACATTCGGCATCAAGTTTTCTTCACACTTCAGCTTACAGTGTAATGCGCCAACATACACTTCTGGAAAAGCAGAGCAGAGATTATTTATTATTTAGTAAGAGTCACAAAATAAAATCAGAGACAGTGGTGGAAGTATTCAGACCCAATACATAAAGTACCAATACATTAATGAAAAAAATAAGCTTTTACAAGTCCTGCATTCAAAACCGTAATTAAGTAAAAATACAGAAGTATCATTAGCAAAATATATTAAGATATCAAAAGTAAAAGTCCTCATTCAGCACGAGAAAGCATTACAAAATGAGTAAGAGTCTACAGAAAACTACATCCACTAAGACCACAACGACCGATTAGCTGACTCATCGACTGGGGCAGCCCGAGTAAAAGTACGATGTTTTCCTTCCAATTCCTTCAGAAAGATCTCATTTTATATCCGATTTTGTTTTTAATTTTTTGAGTCCTCGGTATTGTTTTCTGTTCATTTGATACCATTTTTAAAAAACGGCATACCAACCTGCTAGGACTGCATAGAAGTCGCAGTGTGGTGAAAGTCGATTGATCCCTTCGCAGTCTGCCTGACAGAGATCATACTCATGGAGGTAGAGCCTCAGAGCTTCCTCCATCTGTTCAACGCTGCTGCTGTACTCACCTGAATTGCTGAGTTTCACTCCTCTCAGGAAGGAGGCCTAGAAATTACATGATTCATCCATTTTTTTCGCTTCGGAAAATCAGTTGGGAAAACCTTTGTTGCTGATATAGTGTTAAGCAGTGTAACTCTCCAGTATTATGTGTATTATACAGAGAAAGTATTGTGAAGGACAGACGCTAGGGTGTCCTCACCTCATATGGCTGTCCTTCGTGGTCGGTGAGGTAGCCGCTCAGGTTGTACTGGCTCTTGTACTCCTCCATCAGCTGGTGCATCTCCTGGTCCGCAGGGTTCTTCTGGAGGTATGTGTAGGCACACGGGACGGCCCTCTGCAGGTCATTCAACTGGGAGTAAAGCACAGACTTTCCCCAGCTGTTGTTTGGAAGACTAGTGATGTATAGAATAAATATTTTCTTTATTGTGTCCTATAACTGGCAAGAATGCTACACGTTTACAGTCAAATATAGGAGCCAGTTATAACATTGCCTTGAGTTTTCCAAATATTCGATAGATTCAGTCCAGTTTTCTGCTGCTTAACGGTCCAAAGCCAATCCATACGCAGTTGTAAGGGGCATGAGCTCCTCTGTGGGGACATTTCTGAAATTGTAGTTTTCATATTGCGCGGCTGTCATAAGAACACAGGTCAACCATAGCAACGTCAACAACGCGTCTCCTTTTACGCAAAATGCAACCATGATAAGATAATATCCCACATATTAGTCCGCTTCTTCTGTCTGCGCCTGTTGGTTACGTGTCTGTGTGGTGGTCTGCTGAAGTGCTTAGGGGTCTCAGGGAATTCCGGGATTGGGCCTTTCAGAATTACTGTCTCGGGTTTCTCAGTGTAGATCTACAGCTGTCACTGTTTCTTTGTTTGGCACAGGAATAATATACGTGCGTAAAAGTGACCGCTTGTGCATTGTTGTCTTATTTGTTCTGGTGTTGTTGAATACTCACTCGTGCAAATGTGATTAGTAAAGGAGCATTAGATGAGATTTATAAACTTAAGTCCAATAGTTGGGAATGAGAATCTTCTATAGGGGTTTATGATATGACAATTACGTGTTCTGTAGCGTAATATAGCGGATTCTATATAGGTCAAAATAGTTTTCAGCAGTTGTTTTGCCCTCAATAGTTTGGGATCATTACATCTATTTTTGTCTTCTCTTATTTTTAATTTTAATTTAATTTATATATAATTTATTATAGGTCTATTGAGATGTCTTCAACTATGAAAGAAATCCAATCAAAAGATGTGGATGGAGTTCGGACGTTTTGTGCATCGTTTTCTGAATCTTGACATTTTCACGGCATTAATGGAAAAGCTAAAACTTTGGGGGCTCTCAGGATACTTTACGGCTCAGATACGCTGCTGGTCCAGGGAGGCGGACCTCTCTGCTGTGTGTGCGGCTGTGCCGAAGAACCCAACCGAATAGGCAACTTTCCTTTCAAAATAAAAGCGAAAAATGGGCAATTTAAAAACCCAGAAAACACGGATCTAGTCATACTAATCTACTTAAACATAGTCATACACTAAAAAGATTGCATACCATTATAGGAAATGTGTTTATACGATTTGAATTGAAAATACAAACAACGTTTTGAGTAGTTCTGTTCAATCCCTTCTGTTGTGATCTTATTTTTAAAGGAAGTGGTGCTCTTTTATTAATGGGGTTAACTTGACTGAGGCGCTTCCCATTTCCAACTCCGACATTCCTTCCCTCTGGTAAAAACTCCTCACTGCAACCTGGAGATTGTCCACGTTTACAACATTCAGACGCCGCTACTCTGCTCAACATCTGCAACCTCGGCCCTCTGCGCAAAGAGTGCATACGGCTCCAGGCCTCACATTTATCTATTTTGTTGCTATTATTTTTTTATTGGTTTGAATCCCTCTAACTTATTTGACCTTATTCTGCAAAGATGTTTGCCTGCTGCATTTTCTTTTTCCTACTTACTGCGTGGTCTCCCGTGGAGTGCAATCCCAGTCCTGCGGTAGGAGATGTAGTCGTGGACAGACACTTCATCCCTCAAATCTGTGCAAGAGAAGCGAAGGAGGGAGATTATGTTCGCTATCACTACAACGCCACATTTGTCGACGGGAAAACATTTGATTCGAGGTAAGTTCGTTCATTTTATCTGAAATTCTGAATTGATTCATATTAGTTTAGTTTCTTTGCTTTCAAAGTTGGTTATAATGCTGCAGAGGCCATGCAATCGGATGCAAAGTTTGGTTAGGCTTTAGTTTTTAGTTTTTTCAGAAATGTAAAAAAGCCTGAGATTTACACGTCAAGATAAATCTGCAATAGTATTAATACATTATCTACACAAATTAAGTGATTTTCCTTCCATAGTTCAGGCCTACATCCTCTTAAAGTTGACCCACTTCTGACATTTTCTCTGTTTTTTGACAACCTTTTGGTTTTCTTCACAGCCATCAGAAAGGGGACGCGAAGGTGGGCCTACTCGGGGAGGGCCGGCTCATCGCTGGAATTGACAAAGGTCTGCAGGGCATGTGTGTGAATGAGCGCAGAACACTCACCGTCCCCCCCCACCTGGCCTATGGAAGCACCGGTGCAGGTAAATGCAAATGTCTGTTGGAGCTCGTTGGTGTGCAATCAGTAGTTCATATTTGAGATTCCAGGTTGGCCCCTGACCTTCAGGGGCCCTGAAGGCTCCAGGTTGTCTATGTGGCAGTTACTTAGTAGCTATGTTTATTCACAGATATGTATGGTAATATTTGTATGTAGTTTTATTACCTTTTATATTTCAGTTGATATTATGATGCATATTCATAAACACATTTGTGTCTTGTCAAATTACAGTAGTTGATCAGTCTTGGCAGTTTTCCAGCAAAGACATGTTGGTTTCTGGGGCTCAGCTGGGGACCACCGCTCATTTTAGCCTCCGGGCCCCCTGCCGCTCAGTGTTAGGCTTTTCTTAGCATCTGCAAGGGTTCTTTTTCTTTTTAGATGGATCTGAAAATAAAAATAACCGCTAAATAAATAACAAGAAAACAAGTCAACAGCCATGCTAGCTGCTCTGTGAGCCTATTGCCTATATGCACAGTGCTGCTTTGAGCTAGATGCTAGTAATAGCATGCTAGCAATGCTATCATGTTGATGCTACATAGGTATAATACTTTCCAAATTCACCATCTTTAGTTTCTCATGTTAGCGTGCTAATATTTTTAGAGGGAAAGTAATTGGATCAACAAAGACAATAGGCTTGATCCTCTGGCGACCATGAAAGTCTGTATCCAAATATGTACCAATCCATTCATTAGGTGTTGAGATATTTCACAAACAAGTGAAAAAATGACGTGCTAGTGGCGCCAGAGAAAAAGTCAGGGGATCACCAAAGTCAACAGACCATTAGACCAACATTCCCATCCTTGGAGCCAGGCTGCTACCATGACTAAAAACAGTACTGGTATATCATAATTATTACCATGCAGATGGGTATTAATTGGTTACTTAATTAAATACCAATAGGTATGAATACATTCAGTAATGCAACCACAATTTTTGAGGGATCTTTACTCTTGTTACAACCCGTCCCAACATCCTGTTTCAACAGGGGTGCTCATATAAGGAAATAAAATGATTTAAGGTGTCATTTCAAAGAGGCTTTTGATAGTGTTTTTTTTTTTTGTTTTGTTTTTTTAAATCGTTCTTCAACACTGATGTCCTTGCTGTCTAACCTTCATTGAACTCTCATCTAACCATGTTTACAGGTGATGTGATTCCTCCAGATGCCACCCTGGTGTTTGACATCCATCTGTTGGATCTGTGGAACAAAGCCGACCTGGTTGTCACCAAAACCATCAGCACTCCCAAAGACTGCAAACGCTCCGTGATGCGCACCGACTTTGTGCGCTACAATTTCAACGGCACTCTGCTCGACGGCACCGTCTTTGATTCCAGGTATTCTAGCGTTAACAACTGTTTTAACAGTTGTAGCCCTAACAACAGTAAAAACCACAGTCAGCAAAGATGTCCTTGTTTGAAGCTAAATCTCATTCTTATCGCCATGCTCTGAAACAAAGCCCTGTCCGGATGACAGCTCTCTTGTGTGTTTGTACTGTTTCATCCAGGTATATTGTGTGTTTAAATTTGCCCTACGTAGCTACACCAGGAAGCAGACCCATGACTCCTTAGTGGGTGAGGGTTGGCTGGTTAAGGGCATGGATGAAGGGCTGATGGGCATGTGTGTGGGAGAGATCAGAAATATCATCATCCCCCCCTTCAAAGCCTACGGAGAAAAAGGATCAGGTAAGCAAACATGACGGTTAACTAAACACTAAAGGTGTTAGTGGAACCCTGATTCTCCAAACACTAGGGAATTAGAGATCAGAAGAATAAAATAATATTACAAGGAAACAACAGGCAAATCCCTGATATCCCATCTTATAAATACATGCATATACATAGAACATACTTTCTTGCCAATGCACTTAAAGTTCCCTTGTGCAGTTTTTATTTTGTATCACTAGTAGTGCTATGGAGCACTATTTTTGGGGGCGGGTCCACGTTCCTTTACATATACAAGGACGGACACATAAGTAAACATTGTTGTAAACAATGCAACAATTTAATATAATTTAAATCTCTTAACCACATGACAGTAGCATTGTTCCATATTTATTTAATTAAGTTACTTGTCCTGAATCTTGTTTCGCGTAAATGTGCAAATCTTCAACTAAAATTTGAATATTTTGCTCAGATTCTCCATTTTTTTTTGCAAGTATAGAGTCTAGCATCCTCTGCTTTTCACAACAGCCCAGGAATAACAGCATGATGACCTGAGGTCTGCCGTGGTTATATGACTCCACAGCACTTTTTAATATACCACTCTTATCTTTGTGGAGGTCAGCACTCACCCTTTTTAAAATATCAAATGGTTCATTAGCTGTAAGTATCCTTTCCAGGCCATATTTCACCTTTAGTTAAATTAGTAATTAGGATGTTATATTCTGTTAAATAAATAGATCAGATAAAGATGAGCCAAGATTCAACAAGTAATTGACAGTGTAATATTATAAATAAAACTTACTAAAATAAAACTCTGCTCGATATAAAACCACTTGTTTTTCATGTTAAAGATGTCGGTAGGTGTGAAGTTTGAACTTCTCCCCCCTCTGCTCTCCAGGTACAGATATTCCCTCCCAGGCGACCCTGGTGTATGATGTCCAGTTGGTGGACATTCATAACGCAAAGGATAATCTCACTGTTGAGGACCAGGTGGTGCCTGAGTCGTGCACACGCAAATCTGTGTCTGGGGATTATGTCCGGTACCACTATAATGGCACCTTCCTGAACGGAGTCACTTTCGACACCAGGTGGGCTCAGGAGTAAAGATGTGTATTTATGGCCTCAGGGTATATATTTCTTTCAAGTATAATTGTCATAAAAGCCACAGCTTTTTTTTTTATTTAACCATGTGTGTTACTGCCAACAGCTACCAGAGGAACAACACATACAACACCTACATCGGGATGGGGTATGTGATTTCAGGCATGGACCAGGCCCTCATAGGAGTATGCATTGGAGAGAAGCGGAGGGTCATCATCCCTCCACACCTGGCGTATGGAGAGGAAGGAGCAGGTAAGGGATACTGAAGCTTTTCCTGCTGCTTCCAGAAAGTTGTGTGAATTGATTTTATTATATTTAATTATTGGTGGTTCAGTGTTGCATTGACTCAAAGCTATGTTTCTGGAAAAATAACCCATTAACTCTTTGTGAAATAGCATTTTTTAGATTATAATTTTGTGACTTTTTTCCTTTGTTAGATACAGATATTAGATAGGAAAGGGGGAGAGAGAGGGGACGACTTGAAGCAAAGGGGTCTGGGACTGCTGGAAAAACAAAAATCTTTCAGTGTTTACAACCTATTGGTATTCGTACTTGAATGCAATGAAGTAATCGTAATAACCAGAAAGAGAATGTAAGGTGATCATAATGTAAATATACAAGAGAAAGGGCATTTCTTACATTTTACAGCCTAAAAGATTCATTGAAGAAATAATTTTGAAAATGAACAATAATGACATTAATCAAGAGTTGCATTAAGCCTGATAATACAAAATTGTATAATTGTATATTGTGAGTTACTACGGAGGTTAAATAATTACGCGTGGTCTTATCCAGGTGGCGTCATCCCCCCCAATGCTGCGCTGGTGTTTGACATTCACGTCATCGACTTCCACAACCCCAATGACACGGTGAACATCCAGATCATCCACAAACCCGAGGAGTGTAAGGAGATTACCACAGAGAACGACCTTGTGCGCTACCACTACAACTGCACCCTGGTGGACGGCACGAAGCTCTTTTCCTCGTGAGTCACCCAGACATCCCATGTTTTTACCACTGATATTATACAACCACTTTAATCCGTCCATTCAACGTTGTTCCCAGACACGACTACGAGTCCCTTCAGGATGCAGTGCTGGGCTCAGACAAGGTGATCGACGGGCTGGACCAAGGCTTGCGCGGCATGTGTGTGGGAGAGAAGAGGGTGATAACTGTGCCGCCTCACCTTGGCCACGGAGAAAAAGGGGGTGAGACTTGTAATACGTTATCAAGTGTTGTTTTAATGGACTTTTTTTTAAAATTTTGAACCCTGACAGACTTTTTAAAATGCTGAACCACGAGTTAACTAAAATATCATGAATGAAACCAAAGTTAAACGGTGTTATTTGTTGCTTTCTCTCTGTCAGCCACTGGTGTGCCAGGCAGTGCTGTGTTGGTCTTTGACATTGAACTGGTGAGCTTTGAGAAGGGAGTGCCACCTGGTTACCTGTTTGTGTGGATCGAGGAGAGCCCTGCAGACCTGTTTAGTGCCCTGGATATCAACAAGAACAAAGCGGTTCCCCAGGAGGAGGTATGTTACTGCTGACAGTACAGTACTACCACCTACATTATGTCCCTTGGCAGATGAGGGGATTTGTTTTTACCAACAGTGTTGGAAGAACTAATCAGATCTCCTCCTTAAGTTAAAGTAGCCATGTCACAATGTTACACTACTCAATTACAAGAGGGAGTCCTGAATTCATAACTTTATCGCAGTAAAATACACAGTATTAGTAGAAAAATGTACTTAACGTATCGAAAGTTACTTGTTATGCAGAATATATATTCATTATATACATAATATTATTGGATTATTAACTTTAAAATTAAGTATTTATGGTTGATCAATTTAATTAAAAAAAATATTATTTGACAAGATGAACACATATTTTGTTGTTATAATTACGCTGCACTACACCCAGAAATGTAGCGGAGTAAAAAGTAGTATAATAAAAGTATTAAGTATCATACAATTTAAATACCAAGTACAGTGCAAGTACTTTCCACCACTGATTACAGAAAAATGATAAAACTCCAACCTGAACTGGTGGAGCCTATGATTAATAAGAAATGAAAGTTGTAGCGTTGGCGCCATCTGGTGGTTCTATCAAGAATGAAACTGCTGGTTGTTTCACTGTTCTACATGGTGAAACCATAAAAAGGTAATAGTATAGTAGGGCACAAAATATCATACAATATGTTATAGTATTGTTTGTCTTAAAAAGTAATTAAAGAAAATCATAATTTAGCATGGCATTAAACTGTCACAAACAATTGAATTAAAGTCACAACATAGTAGACCATAAAAAAAACAATCGTAGTATAGTATGTCATAAAAAATATGACCCACTGTTAATGATTAGTGATGTTTTTTTCTCTTGACACATCTTAGTTTGGGGAGTTCATCAAGCTGCAGGTGGCGGAAGGCAAAGGTCGTATAAAGCCAGGAATGATCATGGAGCAGGTCATCACCGACATGTTCGACAACCAGGACCGAAATAAAGATGGAGTGATCACCGCCGATGAACTCAAACTGAAGGTAGACGAGGATAAGGAAAGAGAAGATGCGAGGCACGAGGAGTTGTGATGAAAAAAAAATTAGTTTTATTCTCTCTCAGGGATGAACCCCAACGCCTTAAAAACAAGCGAGAGACTTTCCATCATCATGGTTTCATACTATCTGTACACATTGAACAGTATTTTTTAAATTACAAGAAAATAGTGCAAAGGGTCTTTTTTTGTGGAGTTCTGTGTTGTACGATTGTTTGTCTTTGATAATTGTATTTCAGAAAACCACCTTTATTTGTCCGTGAAAGTCACAATTAAAATGTTTGTAAGAAAAAGAAAATGGTTTCTCTTTTTTTGCTAAAGAAATCATCCGTCATCAGAAAAACAAGACGCAACGTTGCAACTGTTCTCAATGGCACACTTAAAGGAGAATTGCACCAATTTTACACATCAAAGTCTGTTAGAGCCAGAAATGTATTCAAATAACGACTTCTGTGAGCAGCTTCTTAAAATGCCAGGAAAACACAACAGTGTTTGCAAAAGAAGAGCATCAGTCGCATCTCTCTGTAATCAAATTAGTAACATCAACATATTGTACAAAGACTAAAAATGCATTGGTTGTTTTTATTGGGAACGATTGGATACTGGTGACTTAATAATATGAATATAAGTGTTATTTATATTGATAAATCTGTCAGAAATATTTAAAAGCCACAACATGATTCATCAATGTAATGACTACCTTACTGTCATAAGACTGCATTGTAAGGAACTATACTATATAAACATGTTGAATAAAGCAATAATCATTTTTAGAATGCCATTTCAGGAATTTCCGTTGGAGACACGAGTCTTTAACAATACTAAAGGAATTCAAGGAGTGGTCATAGATTTCCTGCAACTTGTTAAAAATGTGAACTATGTCTTTAGCTGAGAAGAGCACACTTACATTTTCATCTTTTCTTCAACAATAATAAAGAGTGACAAGGAAAATGACCTGTCGTAATTTCTAGCAGCCACAATGTTTCAGTTCAAAGACAAAACTGTCATTAGGAGCACACTCATCCCAGACGTTATGTACTACAGTACTCCGTGTAGGCAGAGATGATATGGTACAGTACACAGAAAACACACCAGAACACTCAATATAAAACATTTGGCAGATACAAATGGTGTTTTGTCTTTTCTCATACGAAAGCTTAATATAAAAGAAAAGAGACATACATTTAGAATTGTACCATGTAATCCTTTGTATTGACATTTTTTAAATGGTTGCTGATATGTTTTCAGAGGGAAGGCTACTGGTGCTGCACTGTATGTAAGTCATAGAATAGTATGCAACTAAATAAAGTCATGTCATAGCAGTATGCTATAAAAATGGCACAAAGTCATAGTATAGCATGTCAAAAACAAATCTTAGTATAGTATGTCGAAAATAGAAAAGGCCAGTTTACAAGCTAATTTTAAACCAATAAAAATGCTAAACATATTCAGAGGACAGCGGATGGGAGTGTCTCTTTTGCTTTCCACAGATTGTTTACCCTAAATCAACCAAAGACTGCTCAGATTCTACATGTAAATGCAGATTCTGTTCATAGAGATTAAGTATAACTCTAAATTCACAATGATTAACCCACACAACAAAAAGATGTGTGAAGAAGCCCTGGATCGATCATGGAGCAGGTCTTTACCGACATGCGACGAGTGATCATAGCCGACGAACTCAAACTGAAGGTAGATGAGGACGAGCAAGAGGAAGAGGCGAGGCACGAGTTGTGATGAGAATAACTGCTTTTATTCTCTCCCCGGGTTAAACCCAGAACAACTTTAAGACAAGCAACAAGGGACTTTTTTCCATACATCATCATGGTTTAATATTGTCTGTACCACATTGTTAAATTACAAGAAAAAAGTGCTAGGTAGTACTAGTAACAGGTATTTTTTGTGGAGTTCTGTGTTGTGTGATCATCTTTGAAAACCAAACAAGCATATGGACACATTGAGATGTGTCTGGCACCAACGTGACTTCAAACCAGAAATACACAAATGAAGAGCATCATTGGAAATTAACGATTTTTAAGGATTATTTAAATGACGAATCTCTTGTTAATCAAATTAGCAACACAGTAAAAGTATTAGTCATTTTAACAAGCAGGTAATTAACACATATCTGAAAGTCCCAATGCTGTAAGACCTACAGATGCATGAACATAGATTAATATTGGTGAGACACTATTGAATTGAGTAACTTAATATATGAACACAAGTATTATTATTATTGATCAGTGAAAGAATTTAAAAGCTACAACATGATTCGTCAATGTAATGACTATTTAACTGTCATAAGACCGCATCGGAAGAAATGATGAGTACCATAGAGAGACAGAGTAAAATGTTTAATTAAAGGGATAGTTCACATTATTTTAGAATCCCATATGAGGTATGTTCCCTTCTTGAGAATAATGTAGCATTGTGTTTGATGCTGACATTAACATGTTACATGGTTAGAATGACTCAGAATAAAAATAATAAAGAACTATTACAATAGCTTAAAGACTGATAGCACTGTCGAGTTAGCCGCACCCTGCAAGTAAACTGATGATTTGTGTATAAAGTATGTGTAAACTTGAGCAGGAGGTACTTGCAGTATATGCAGATGTAATATACAGTACACACAAAACACACCTGAACAAAGTCAATACAGTGGGTACGGAAAGTATTCAGACCCCTTTAAATTGTTCACTCTTTGTTTCATTGCAGCCATTTGCTAAAATCAAAAAAGTTCATTTTATTTCTCATTAATGTACACTCAGCACCCCATCTTGACAGAAAAAAAACAAATGTAGAAATTTTTGCAAATTTATGAAAAAAGAAAAACTGAAATATCACATGGTCATAAGTATTCAGACCCTTTGCTCAGTATTGAGTGGAAGCACCCTTTTGAGCTAGTACAGCCATGAGTCTTCTTGGGAATGATGCAACAAGTTTTTCACACCTGGATTTGGGGATCCTCTGCCATTCTTCCTTGCAGATCCTCTCCAGTTCCGTCAGGTTGGATGGTGAACGTTGGTGGACAGCCATTTTCAGGTCTCTCCAGAGATGCTCAATTGGGTTTAGGTCAGGGCTCTGGCTGGGCCAGTCAAGAATGGTCACAGAGTTGTTCCGAAGCCACTCCTTTGTTATTTTAGCTGTGTGCTTAGGGTCATTGTCTTGTTGGAAGGTGAACCTTCGGCCCAGTCTCAGGTCCAGAGCACTCTGGAAGAGGTTTTCTTCCAGGATATCTCTGTACTTGGCCGCATTCAACTTTCCTTCAATTGCAACCAGTCGTCCTGTCCCTGCAGCTGAAAAACACCCCCATAGCATGATGCTGCCACCACCATGTTTCACTGTTGGGATTGTATTGGGCAGGTGATGAGCAGTGCCTGGTTTTCTCCACACATACCGCTTAGAATTAACCCCAAAAAGTTCAATCTTGGTCTCATCAGACCAGAGAATCTTATTTCTCATAGTCTGGGAGTCCTTCATGTGTTCTTTGGCAAACTCTATGCGGGCTTTCATATGTCTTGCACTGAGGAGAGGCTTCCGTCGGGCCACTCTGCCATAAAGCCCCGACTGGTGGAGGGCTGCAGTGATAGTTGACTTTGTGGAACTTTCTCCCATCTCCCTACTGCATCTCTGGAGCTCAGCCACAGTGATCTTTGGGTTCTTCTTTACCTCTCTCACCAAGGCTCTTCTTCCACGATTGCTCAGTTTGGCTGGACGGCCAGGTCTAGGAAGAGTTCTGGTCGTCCCAAACTTCTTCCATTTAAGGATTATGGAGGCCACTGTGCTCTTAGGAACCTTGAGTGCTGCAGAAATTCTTTTGTAACCTTGGCCAGATCTGTGCCTTGCCACAATTCTGTCTCTGAGCTCCTTGGGCAGTTCCTTCGACCTCATGATTCTCATTTGCTCTGACATGCACTGTGAGCTGTAAGGTCTTATATAGACAGGTGTGTGCCTTTCCTAATCAAGTCCAATCAGTTTAATTAAACACAGCTGGACTCCAATGAAGGAGTAGAACCATCTCAAGGAGGATCAGAAGAAATGGACAGCATGTGAGTTAAATATGAGTGTCACAGCAAAGGGTCTGAATACTTATGACCATGTGATATTTCAGTTTTTCTTTTTTAATAAATTTGCAAAAATTTCTACATTTCTGTTTTTTTCTGTCAAGATGGGGTGCTGAGTGTACATTAATGAGAAATAAAATGAACTTTTTTGATTTTAGCAAATGGCTGCAATGAAACAAAGAGTGAAAAATTTAAAGGGTCTGAATACTTTCCGTACCCACTGTATAAAGTAGAAAATTTGCCAGATAAAGAGACATTTACAAAATGTGGTACGTCTTTAAATAAAATACGGTATTTAAAAGCATCCTCATTCTGTGAAACAACAATGTAAACTTTTTTCTTTTTGAGCTGAAGAGGACTGAAATTTAGAAACACACCCTGTAATTGTTAATACTGAAGTATGTAAGAGGTTGCTGATTGGTTATTAGAGGGAGGGCAGTGTGAGAACAAACAAAGAAAGGTCCAGCTTCAATGTCTGGGTTGAGGTAAGTGATGATGTGTGAATGTCCAGCATATAACATGGTGAATAGAGTGAACAAGTCCATCTGTGTGCATGTTGTCATAAAGTTCTTGCTTTCGCTTCTTACTTGTGTCTCGATGAGGTAATGCATCCGAGGATGGCGTTCACAACGTCCATCGTCTCGTCCTGCACCAGCACTATGTCAAAGGAGTTGATGTACGACTCTTTCCTCTCTTCCACCTGAGAAACACAGACACTAAGAACCCAAACCCTGAAACTACACGTGTTGATACAAGGAATAACGCTAGACGTTAGTCTCACCTTGTCGTTGAGGAAGCCGATGGTGAGGATGTTCTGGTGCTCGGGCACGCCGTCGGCCATGGTCAGGTCTCCTAAAGAGTCTCCCAGCAGCAGCACATTGGGTCGACCCTGCAGTTCTCTGAGGCCAGCTGCGTGCGACAAAGCACCGTCTCTCTTGTTGAAGGTGTGGATCAGTTGGCCTTTGAAGGCTCGCAGGACCCCCTTATTAAAAACAATCTTCAGTTCAGGTTACCTGACACTCGCATACAGAGGCTGAAGTTGGTGGAGTTCTCAACTATGATATGAAGTCCAAGTAGAACACGGTGTAGGCCAACTCACAGTTTGGTCGAAGTCCATGTAGTTGGAGATGATGTGGACATTGGGATAGAAGACGCGGTGCTGTCGAATCACTTCCTCCAGCACGTCTCCAACACCAGCCGAGAAGATCAACAGAGGGACCTGCTGCTCCGTCAGACGGTCAAAAAACAATTGGTAGCCGTCCCTGAAGAAAATCACACACACACACACACACACACACACACACACACACACACACACAC